ACACAGACCGCAGGGTGAGCGCCCCCTGCTGGCCCCACTAACACCTCTTCCAGCAGCAGCCTCAGCTTTCCCAGGAGTCTCCCCTCCAGGTACTGTCCAGGCTCCCACCTGCTGAGTCTCCAGTGCGGGGCTGCTGGCTATATTAGACCAATCCTCCAGATTGTGAGAGCTGCACTGGAGACCTACTCTCCTCAGCTCACAGCAGGCATGAGCCACCAGAGATTGCAATGATCAATCAAGCACACTGATCTCGAGCTTACCCTTCTGGACATGGAGACTGATACAAGCCTCCTATCGCTCTCCTGTTGCAAAGTCTGAAGTTCGAGACTTGAGCCTTGAGCTTCAGGCAGAAGACTGTTTGTTTTTGGGAGGGCTAAAATGTCCTGGTACGCTTTAGAATTCACCTGTTGTTCAGTTCTAGCTAGGACACCTGGCCCAGAGGGAGCAAAACAGCTCTAAAATAGAACTGAAGCATTTCAGTTCTCCAGTTCTCCACAGAGGGGCTGATACACGCGTACTCATGCAACCATATCAAGTGTTCTCAGCTAGATGGAGTCAAGCAGTTGGGGAAACCCATGTCTCACTGTGGAACTTGGGGAGACCAAACTGGACTCATGAGGCCAGTGTTGGATGAGATCTTGTTCTGAGTTCACATTTCCAACCCTCACTTTTTTCCTAAAGAGGTACCAGCGTCCCTATCAGGCAAAATCCCAGTTTTATTGCAGAACTGGGCATCCATCTGATACCTCCCCTGTCTTTCTCTAAATTGGTCATGTTTTCGCACTAACGAGAGGGTGACAGAGGAGCCTGTCACGAGGTACAGGTAGCATGGAAAATACAACATTCAGACATCTTCCATTGAGCGGTTACTACATAAGTTCCTGAGGGTGCACACTCAGGGCTTGACTAGTAACTGCTATTACTTAATTTCATATCCATTCACCTTCTCTAAACTCCTTCAAATCCAGACTCCAAACCTTCTTCTGTAGAAGAGCCTTTACTGAACTGGTTCCAGTCTTTACCCCTCTACCCCTACTCAGCCAGCAGCCATATCACCCTGCAGCTCCCCACTGGCAACCCCACTGAAGCTCAGCAGGTGGGAGCCTGGTCAGTACCTGGA